GGGGGGTACGTCGGAAATTTGAAAGTTTTGTCGGAAAATGTCCACCGGAAATGAATTTCCGCCTCTGGTTCCAGACAAAAGAGTCTAGCTAAAATTATTTTAAGTTAGAACACCAACACAACTCGTTATGCGACCGGCTTTTGTTATTCAATTTGGTTGAAAAAATCTAGGACGACGAGGATGGGATTCGAACCCACGCGTGCAGAGCACAATGGATTAGCAGTCCATCGCCTTAACCACTCGGCCACCTCGTCTGAACTGGAGATGGATTAAAATTCTACTCCTGTGTTTCCTAATTTCCAGTGCTATAATAATAATAATAGTTTTTCTAATTTTTCGACAACTAATTCCTGATAGATAATGCAGAAATTTATCTGGGAACATAACTGGCCATTTCCATTTTTTTCAAAATCGTCAGTCGACTGATTTTTGCTTCATTTGCTGTTTTTCTATAAGAAATTGTGGGAGACCTGGATGCGAGTCGAATCCACACGCGTTGAGCGCAATGGATTAGCAGTCCATCACAATCCAAACAATGCATCTCTCCCCCCCCATTGGCAATCTCATTTTTTTTTTGAAAAATGTTAGAAACTTCAAATGTTCATTATTAAAGGTAATGGTGAAATTCTACTGATGAAAATCAATTCATTCTTTTCAAATCGTTATACAACAGGTTTATCTCATTGCTTAATTGAGAAGTAAGTGGCCGACGAGGATGGGATTCGAACCCACGCGTGCAGAGCACAATGGATTAGCAGTCCATCGCCTTAACAACTCGGCCACCTCGTCTGAACTGGAGATGTATTAAAATTGTACTCATGTTTTTCTTAATTTCCAACTAATTACTGATGGATAATGCCCAAGTTTTTCAGATGAAAATAACTGTTCATTTCTATCTTTTTTAAATCGTTAGTCGACTGGTTTTTGCTATTTTTTGCTAAGAAATTGTGGAAGATCTGGATGCGATTCGAATTTAGCAGTCTATCAAAATCCAAACAATCCATCTCTCCCACTCCGGGCAATCTCATTTAATTCGACGAAAAAGTGTTAAAATAATCATTATTGACGAATAATGGTGAAATCCTTTGGTCAAAAATCGTGTTCGACAAGTTTAACTTATTGTTTAAGAAGTAAGTGACCGACGAGGATGGGATTCGAACCCACGCGTGCAGAGCACAATGGATTAGCAGTCCATCGCCTTAACCACTCGGCCACCTCGTCTGTACTGGATATGTATTAAAAATGTAATCGTGTTTTTCCTAATTTCCAGTGCTATAATTGTAATAGTGGGGTTTATCCACATAAACTAAAGGGACTGTTTCTAGATTGTTCCGTTCTACAAAAGAATTTACACATGTTATCTCGATTTGCCCTGCATGGTATTTAGTTTTTAGTATTTATTGATAGATAAAGCCGAAATTTTTCAGTTGAAAATAACTTGCTATCGCAATCCAAACAATTCATCCTCCACTCTGTAATCTCATCTAAAATTTTCAGTTGAAAATAAATTTCTATTTTGTAGTCGACTGGTTTTTGCTATTTTTCTTTGCGAAATTGTGGAAGACCTGGATGCGATTCGAGTCCATACGCGCTGAGCACAATGGGTTAGCTGTCCATCACAATCCAAGCATCCATCTCCTCACTCGGCAAGTTTAGGGGATGGGATTCGAACCCACGCGTCTGCAGCACAATGCATTGATTAGCAGTCCATCGCCTTAACCACTTGGACACCTTGCCTGCATAGACAGGAAATCGACATTTTTCATGTGAAAATAGCTGTCCTTTTTTTTAATTGTTAATCGACCGGTTTTTCCTATTTGTCTTTAAGAAATTGTGGAAGATCAGGATGCGATTCGAATACACATTGTGGATTCGAATCGCATCCTGATCTTGCGCCGAGCACAATGGATTAGCGCTGGCAGTCTATCACAATCCAAACCTGAATTGCGATGAGCACAATGGATTAGCAGTCTATCACAATCCAAACAATCCATCTCCGCTCTCGTTAATCCCGTTTAATTAATATATTGGCGAAAAAGTGTTGAAATATTCATTTTTGACGGTTAATGGTGAAATGTTGCTAATGAAAATCAACTCAGTTTTGTATTGTTTCAAAATCGCTACTGGACAAGTTTATCTTATTGTTTAAGAACTAATTACCATTTTTGCTTTTTTAACAACAGAACAACACGGAGGCGAAACAGAAACAGGCGCGTAAGTTTGGACCAGGCTGCCCCGGGTCCTACCGGAATTGGGTGCCCCCAAGGCAAGGGGATCCTGAATTCGTTTGAAGTACCAAGGAGCTCTGGCAATATGAACATTTTGCTAGTCGTTTAGAAGCGAATTTTAATGGTTTCTTAAACATGGAAATATAATTATAGAGCAAAATACAAAAAAAAACACACACAACTATAAATTAACACTAGCACAATTTGTTTTTGACATAAACAGTGAAATGTTTGCCACTGTACTTATGCACATACAACCTTAAATGAACAAGGCCCCCCGGACAACTCAGTTCAGGGTGCCCCCTGGAAGCCCGTTATAGCCTGGGTGCCCCCGGCTTTTACCGGGCAGAGCTCATAGGATTCAAACTAATATAACACCAGACCAACTGATTGAACAATCCGTTAATTTAGGAAGAGAACACAAACGAACTTTGCTAAAAAAACTAAAGCATTTCAAAAACCTTTAAATACTATCTTGTTTAAGATTTCAATTTTTTTTTCTGTATTTTAACCTTAAAATCATTATGACATCCGACGTTCTGTGTGTATACGTATATATGTGTAAGTTTTGATCGTTTCAACTACAGCTATCAAAATAAATACAAAATATTGTTCAATTGACCATCTCCCCAAATTTCTCCACTATGTCCGAATGAAAATCTTTCAATTCTTTCATTATTTTCTTATGATAATTCTCCAGCCTCGTTTGCACCATCTCCTCAATTTTCTCCTGCGTCAGAACATCATCGCCACCTTCATCATCACCTTCATCATCTTCGTTATAAAACGTGTTCATTTCACCAGCGAAAAATCGGTTGACATTGTCCGTGAAAGATTTCTTGCGATTAGGGTACTCTGTGTGGGTCGTGCCTTTCTTTCTTTTGAAGCATGGTAGTCTACCAAATAGTGATGATTCGACTTCCATTATAAATTTGATCTACAAGACAGGATTTATATTTAGTTCTCTGATTATAATATCGTATTCAGTCGCATGTGAAAAGAATAGAGCGTTTGCGCATGACGTCACAGCTGCCATGCTGGTGTTCCAATTTAAAATAATTTTAACTAGACTCTTTTGTCTGGAACACAAACATGGCTGCCATGGCATTTGTTGAGTTGGTCCCTGGGCAATGAGTGCAAACGCTCTATACTTCCAGTTTGACTGTAACAAGAGATTTTTACGATTTTCTAGAATTAATGAGGGGTGGCTCTTACTAGACCTCTGGGAAGAACTGTCTAGAACTGATAGAACTATTCAGTGCAAATAAAACTAGTTCATCTAAGGTTCTACCTGTGTATAATACTGTACCAATAGAATATGGCCTTAAATGCAATTTATCTAAGGATCCTCATGTGTATCATACTGTACCAATAAAATATGGCCTTGATATGATATTCTAGGGAGAACAGTCTATAACAATCAGAGCTGTCCAGTATCAATAAAGTTAGTCTAGTACATGTTTTATCCTTCAGTAACAAAATGAAGTTAGGTTAGTTTAACTAAACAAGCAAAACCTTTACGTCTTTCCCAACTTACATGTTGTCTCAAACTTTGCACTTTAGCCATACTCATGACATACGTCGTGTCGCCAACAGCCAAGCCAATCAAGACGTTGTTAACCACGACCACCATAAGTAGAACAAACATGACAAACATAAGAAGTTTGAAATCATAAAAATCTGTATGATAACCAACTTTGAGAAACAAAGAATCGTACTTGAAATCGCCCAACATTGATACGAATGTGCTTAGAATTGCAATCGGGAAGTTTTTGAATCTACTATACTCTGCAAGCAGGAGGTAAAACGTTGATGCATATGCCATACAGAATAGCACGATCAGCAAAAGCATCTGAAAAAAAAGAAGAGGTTAGAGCTCGACAACTGGCCTCTGTAGCTCAGTTGGTTAGAGCGCTGCACCGGAATCGCTGGGCTGCAGGTTCGATTCCTGCCAGGGGGCCAGTAGTTGCATTTTCCGCAACTGTTTCTGGTTAGGTCTAATAAATATACACTTGGAATGTATATCGACGAAAGCCATCTACGATTAGTTATATCGATTGTAGGTATCCATGTTTTCAGTGTTGAAGGGTTTTTTGTAGATGGAAACCAAGAGGAGCTGCGAAAAATGGAACTGTTGGCTTCTGGCAGGAATTGATATATGTGTTAGTTACACTCGAACATTTCCAGCCACAAAAACACAGAATCCTGATATAAACTCATATACCTTAGTCAGCGTCTTAAAAACTTTCTGCAGAGTCAAAATGTAAGTGCCAATATCAGGAATTCGTCTCAAGAACCAGATGAGATTAAACCAGGATATACAGACGGCTAGGGAAGCTGCCCCAAACTGGCGTTCAGTTTTTGTGTTCCTCACTGGGAACATAAAGTACAGCACACAAACATACAACATCCACTCGAAATAATTTGAAAATTTTTTGAAATATCTCCAACGTTGGGTATGCATCTGGAAAGAAGTTAGATAATCGTCAAGATAAACTATTTAACTAAAATATTTAGTTGAAAACGTCTTATCAGTAGCTCTATATGATGCTACTGGTGGTGGTAGTTGTGATGGTGGTGGTGATGATGATGGTGGTGATGATGATCATAATAATGATAATATTAATGGTGATGATGATGGGTGGTAATGATGATGATGGTAGTGGTAGTTGTGATGATGGTAGTAGTGATGATGGTGGTGATAATGGAATGGTGGTGATTATGATAATATTAATGGTGATGATGATGATGGTGGTGGTGATGATGATGGTAGTTGTGATGGTGGTGGTAGTGGTGATGATGATGGTGGTGATAATGGTGGTGGCAATAATGGTGGTGATTATGATAATATTGATGGTGATGATTATGGTAGTGGTGATGATGGTGGTTGTAAAAATGGTGGTGGCTATGATGGTATGATAGTGGTAATAAAGATGGAGATCTGTCTAATGGTATGCCAGATCAGACTACTTGTGATCTGCCAGAGAAAAATTTAAAAGTATTAATAGTATACTTGTTATACCCGAACGAATTCTTTGAAAATGTTGAAGAATGTTAATATGAAGATGAAAGTCGTTGCAACGATAGCTCCGTGCTGATTAGGTCTTCCGGCAGAGTTGTTAGACGTTGTGGACTTGGTTGTTGCTGCGTCTATAAAATTAAACGACAATAATTTTGCTTTTTGGAAAACATTGAAATTTATTTAATTAATAAAACGTTTGATCCGTAAGCCTGGATCTTTAAGGCAGATTTGATCCGTAAGCCCGGATCTTTGAGGCAGATTTGCACTGTACAACTTTTTTGCCTAAAATTGTCGCATGCAACCTGGGTGGCAGGACATTTTGCCGAAAGACATTTTGCCGAAAGGACATTTTGCCGAAAGGACATTTTGCCGAAAGGACATTTTGCCGAAAGACACTTTGCCGAAAGACATTTTGACGAACGGACACTTTGACGAACGGACATTTTGCCGAACTATTTTATAGTAGAGAAAATAGAGATATATACACTATCAAAGTTTCTGTCATTGAAGTCTTTGATAAAAGTCATTGTTCACTTTGATGGCAGAAACTTTGATAGTGAACGTTTTTCGTTTTATATTTACAGCTGAGAATAACGTGATTCATGAATGTTAAGGTAAAAGTTCATATATACAAACTATCAATATGATTATGCACTACTAATGACGCACATGACAACTGAATCACCGCCCCAAACAATTTGATAAACAACGTTGGTGAACGTGGGTGTGAACGAAATAACATCTCTATTTTCGGCAAATTGTCCGTTCGGCAAAATGTCCGGGAACCTGCAAACACACAACTCAACTGCGTTGTCGTAGGTGAGTTGTGTGTTTGATTTACAGAGTAGTAACTGGTGGAAGCAGGTTGCATGCAACAGTTTTAGGCAAACGTTGTGCAGTGTAAATCGGCCTTTATCTGTGGAAATAGTTTCGTAAAACATATAAAAATTAAAATATTCCAATGGACCCAATGACTTACTCGATTTATGTAGCGTCCGAACTGCGATTGCACCACGAACCAACGCAACATAAACATTAAACGAAACATGAAAACAAAGAAAGATAAAAAGATTTGCCAGATATACATAACATCCTTTTTCTCGCCATTTAACGCTAAAATATTTCTTGCAGAGTTTGTGAGTCAAGCATTGTTCATCGTCGTTATCAATGATCGCTTGGAGGCCATCAAACATGGGTGGTTTGGAACCTTGAATAATGGAAAAGACAGGCGACAATAAACACAACCTGAAACCATGAACAGGCAAAAAATCACTGAGGAACGTTTCGAAGCCTGAATTAAGTAGTTTGTCAGATACACGGCTATGCACAAACTATTTACGTACTTCTAGGCATAACGTGGTTAAATAAATGATTGATTAATTCATTACAAAAACACACCTGTTGGATTCAGCAAGAAGAAATCGTATGTTATTTGATAGTCAAGCGATTGAGCTTTACCGTCGCTCTTCACGACACAGCGATCTAACAGTATCTTGGCATTGTCTGGCATTTGGTTTACTAGGCATGCAAAACCTCTTTTTGCTCCTCCATTCCATTCAGTGATCAGCTGAAGTGGGAAATAAATTAGTTTGTATGGTACTGAATAACAAAAGAATGAAGAAGTGATGAAAGTGATGGTAGTAGTAGTGATGATGGTAATGATGACGGTAGTAGCAGTGATGATATAGTGGTGATGATGATGGTAGTGGTGATGATGATGGTGGTGATGATGGTGGTGATGATGGTGGTGATGATGATGGTAGTGATGATGATGGTGGTGATGATGATGGTGATGATCGTGATGGTAGTGATGATGATGGTGATGATGGTGCTGATGATGATGGTGATGATGATGATGGTAGTCATGGATGATGATGGTGGTGATTATGATGGTGATGATGGTAGTGATGGTGATGATGGTGGTGATGATGACGGTGGTGTTGATGATGGTGGTGATGATGATGGTGATGATGATGGTGATGATGATGATGGTGGTAATGATGATGGTGGTGATGATGATGGTAGTGATGGTGATGATGATGACGACGGCGGTGTTAGTAATGATGATGACGGTGGTGTTAGTAATGACGATGATGGTGGTGTTAGTGGTGATGGTGGTGATGGTAGTGACGATGATGGTAGTGACGATGATGGTGGTGATAATGATGGCGGTCCGGAGATAATGGTGGTAGTGATGGTGGTAGTGATGAGGCTCATGATGGTAATAATAGAGATTATGATGACGGTAAAGGTGATGATAATGATAATGATAATTGTTAAGTTGATGGTAATGGTGATGATAGTGGTAAGAAGAAAACTGTACATTCTACTCACATCTTTCCAGTGGTCGCTAAGCAACAATTCCTTCACTACGTCATCCTGTTTGTTCATCACAGCCACCTCCAAACAATTCAGACCACCCTCCATCCTCACAAGCGGGTCTGCACCATTCTTAAGAAGAAAGGACACAATGTTTCTGCAGCCATTCATGCAAGCAATGTGTAGAGCCGTTCTTCCTTGGTTATCTTCTGCTCTCAAGAGATCTTCGTCCTCGTGAAACAGCAGTTTGACATTTGATAACGAGCCAGCGTCCGCTGCCATGTGGAATGGTGTGGAATTATTCTTGTCGCTAGAAAAAAGAAATGTTCACGTTGATAAATGCAGTGTAGTGACGACAGATAATAGACAAATACACAGTGCCAAGCGGTATCCGGACATTTTGCCGAAACACATTTTGCCGAACGGACATTTTGCCGACGGACAATTTGCCGAACGGACAATTTGCCGAAAGGACAACTTGCCGAAAATAAAAATGTTATTTCGTCAAAATATTTGGGACTGTGACTCATTTCTCAAATGTGTAATTCTCAACCATTGTGTAAAATAACCATTATATGGTCATTAGCAGTGCATAATGGTCATTAGCAGTGCATAATGGTCGTTAAGCCCGCCGCACACGAGAGCAACTTGCTGCGCTAAAATATCTACCGTGTTTGATATTTTTCGCCTCGCGAGGAAAACATCTCAGCGTCAGTGGATGTTGTGAGCTAAGTGCTGAGCTGTTTGAATCAATTAGCCAATGACAAACCATGGTTTCTTCATGTGACTTGCGACAAAATGGAGCTGGCTGCCACGCGAGGCGGTTAGCTCAGCAAGTTGCTCTCGTATGCGGCGAGCTTAAGCAGTGCATAACCATATTCACTATTGGTAGCTTGTTTGTGCAGCGGATGACTCATTTTTTAGGAACGTGTTTTGACGTCAGATCCGGCAGGGTGCGATAATTCACGTACCAACTTACCGGAGGTACGCCAAATTTATGGTCTGGTACTTCCTTGTTTTTAGGCAAGTACCACGTAAGTACGCGGAAATTTGCTACTCGCGTACTTACATTTTCCTTGCAAACCTGCCAAAGTATTCAAAACCGTGAAGAACTTTAGCTGTACATGTAAATTCCACGCATCCGACATATTTTGGGATGAAAAAAGCCAAAAGGTTATCTTTGCGCTTGATCAAAAAATTTATCGTCATCGTCCGACTGAAAAAAAATCACTCGGGTGAGCGATTTTAAAATCGTTATCGTCCAACGATAATTATATCGTTTTCGTTGTAGTGTGGACACCAACATAATTTTTTTACCAATCATCGCGTGTTTACAAGTTATCGTATCGTTATCGTTGCGTAGTGTGACCTGGGCTTAATCAGTCAATGCTATACCAAGGCCTAAAATACCTGTGGTTCCGGTTTCCCGACCGGCCCTATTTTTTTTTTGCCCACCCTATTATTTTTTCAACACGATTGACCATGCGACCCTATTTTCTCCGGGTGGTTGCGGGCTGCTCGTACAGCGTGCCAAAATGGCGTCTGTTGTCACAATAATTATTGAACCAAATTGCCTAAATCCATCCGTAGGAACTACGCATCTCTAGTTAATATTGATGTCGGGACTCTACTGAAAATCGTCCAGCAAAAAAAACCCGCCAAAACCACCGACCCACCTACCCTAATTTTTTCGCGATATGAAACCGGAACCACAGGTTTTTTTTAGGCCCAATGAGGAAAACTACACTGTTTGTAGCTGAGGTCAGACTGTTAGTACCCTCGGTAAATCCACTGTGCATTCGAGTCACAACGTCGACGCTTTGAAAACTGTTATATTATGTTGTACAAATACCATAGTTAAAGATTCACTTGTACAAAATTGCTCATACATTTTGTGCTTTTGGACCAGTAAACTATACGTGGGTATAAAAACGCATAACTCGGAAGTAGTCTTAGGTACGTCTTGACTCTTGTTAAGTTTGTACTAGATTAGGTACGCGGTAAAAGTTGTCGGAGTACCAGTCAGGTACGGCTAAAAATATTGAATTATCGCACCCTGGATCGTAAACAAACAAGCGTATATAAAGACGACGTAAGCGAATTTCACTTCGAGAATCATGGAATACATTCACAGTCAGTTCTAAGGGAAATCACATTCATGAATGATGTTGAATGATGTTATTCTTTATACCGCCAATTTTCGGTAAACTTGTCAAACACTTGAAAGAATATAAAACGAAACTATACACTATCAAAGTTTCTGTCATCAAAACCGACAATTAATGACTTTAATCACAGAAACTTTGACTGTGTAAGCGAACCTTTAAAGTTCAGAAGATATCTCTATTTTCGGCAAAATGTCCTTTCGTCAAACTGTCCGTTCGGCAAAATGTCCATTCGGCAAAATGTTCGTTTGGCAAAACGTCCGTTCGGCAAAACGTCCGTCGGCAAAATGTCCGTTCGGCAAAATGTCTTTCGGCAAAATGTATTTTGGCAAAGTGTCTTTCGGCAAAATGTCCGGCCACCGTGCCAAGCTAGCCGTTGCAAGTTGGCAGCAAGTCATGCTGCAAATTTTTAATGATGTGTATTATGCAAACCTTTAGAAATAAATGTATTGCCTTTAACCTATTAAGACGCAGGTTTATTAGCAGAGCATGACCAGTTGCCATGGCTTGCTTTGTCACTGCAAATGAGAGGTGTGCAAATCCGATCCGAATCCGATCATATTCGTTCGGATTTCGGAACAAAAATATAAATTTCGGATTAGACCGGATTGATAAAGTTGTTTCGTAGTCAGATCGGACTTCGATATTCGAAATAAAATGAATTAATTAAATATCCACGACAAAACAATTGGATGTCACTTTGTCAGCTTCTTGACGACTTGACATGTATATTTCTTGCTTTTATATTTACTTGGTTAAATATTTCCACTTGAATGAGAAATCTATTTTATTAAAGGATTCTTCGGATTGGAATTCTTTATCAAAACTCGGATTGCATTAGACAATTTTGGATCGGATTGAATTTTAAACATTAGCCAAATATCGAATTATAAACGTCCAATCCGATCCGCTGCACACCTCTACTGCACGCAAATACATTGTTCCGACGGCTATATCAAAATACACACATCTCCAAAATATCGCAGTCCGTGATTTATCAGATATAAGAAAGGGTTCGTAGTCTCCAAGACCAAACAAATTCAAAGACTTTCAAAGATTTTTGCTGCCTATTTTCAAATACTTTTCAAAGACCGTTGAGAGCAATCAGCTGTTGAAGAGTTGCAAGTGAAAGCAACATATTTACCCAATAATTAGTCCCATCAAATCACATCCTAAAATGCGCCTTTTCGTCGATATTTGCGAAAATCTTGATTCAATCAATCTATTTTATTAGCTAGGAAATCGTATAATCAAATACTCACTAAAGTATTTGGAGACTTTTAAAGACTTTCTTCGCTTTTTCACACAATGCAAAGACTTTTCAAAGACCTTAAAGACCTGTATTCAAATTTAAAGACTTTCAAGGGTTTCAAAGACCGCCACGAACCCTGTAAGATACTCGGCTGTCACTTCGTGTTTTATATCTGATAAAGCACTCCAGCTCGTGTTTTAAAATAGCACATAGATGATAGATAGACATGTACAATACAGATGATAGACATTTAAATACATTGTTCCGGCAGCTACATCAAGTACTCACGTCTCAAAAATATCAGCTCCGTGCGAGAGAAGGAATTCCAACAAGAACCACTCCTCTAACGCAGCAGCGTAATGCTGTGTAGATTTTCCATCGTTATCCTTGTCGTACAAAGCATCAGGTCTTGCTTCCAAGATATCTTGTACAATGTAAGGATTACACGACTTCACTGCGCAATGGATCAATGTCTGCCCTGTCTTTCTACTGCGGATAGTGTACATGTTCTGTCCAGGCCGGCCAGTATATGCATGCTCTAAAATTATATTGAAACTTCAAATTGGATGGAAACAGTTAAGGCAGGGTTAAGCCCGGAAAATAAACCAAGAAACATTGTTTCTAAGCCATGTTTCCCAAACATTTGGTTTTGTAATCGCAAACGCAAGCCCCTGTCTTGAAGGATACTCGAAAACCTGGGAAAACCAAGAAATATTACTTCCTAGCCATGTTTCCTGAGCTATGAAAGACGTCGATACTTTGCTACCTTTCTCTCATTATGTAAGACAGCAATATGAGCAGGAGTATAACCATTCACGTCTTCGCTGAAGAGCGCTTGGATCAGGTGATCATGCTATAAAACGAAGACTCGTATCAATGGTATGTCAAAATAATGCCAGGCTGATTAACTTTGGCTCCCAAATGGAAGCTGAAAAAATTTGCATACGATTCTGATCTCGTGTGATCGCAGTTCAAGATCAAACCTTTTCAAACTTTTCCAACACAAACTCTAGCAATTCCTCTCGCTGAACACTGAGATGAAAGATATTTCGTCCAGTTATATCTGTGTCGGTGACTTTCAGTTTCTCAACATCTTTCTGTTCATTCAGATATTTCTCTGTTATACGAAGACCACGGCGGACAGCCCTGGAATTGACATAAAAATCAATGAAACACACGTTGACCCGATTTAAACTCTGAGTCTCTGTGTCTCGAAAGACTCGACTGGTTACCGGATCCATACAGACTTATTAGACGAAATATTTTTATTTGTGCAAAAAAATTAGTTACGTACTGAATTTGTTGAATAAGAAAGCTATACGACATTGTTCACCATTACGAATCAAAACTTACCTTATTAATGGACTTATGAGGATACGTTTTTCAGACTTTAAGCTAGGATTATTGATGGACATCTCTCCGTTCAAATTCCTCATTTCTTGCAAATGAGTTCCAGTAAGATCATCCATGACGCCTAAATGTATAAGTCACGCAACTTGCATAAGGACAACATCAAAGAAACACGTCATGTGCATCATGCTGAAATAGTAAAACATGAAAACGAGACCGATTTAATGGTAATTATGTTATTGAAGAACTAACAACACGCAAGATTGTTTGAGCAAATAAATCCATCTTAATAGACATTTCCCCTTATGAGTGAAATTTTGATCTAAATATGCCTGGACAAAAATTTCATCACAGCTTAAAAGAGCATCTCAAAATTAGTAATATTTCGAAGTGTCGTTGCGAAATGTTGTAAAATGCGGATAATATGGCCTTGCGAAGTTTGCCGTTTTTCAGTCATTTTGTATTACAAATGGGAAATTGATAATCAGTTTGATCATCTGATTATCAATTTCCCGTTTGTAATGTAAAATGACTGAAAAACGGCAAACTTCGCAAGGCTATATTATCCGCATTTTACAACATTTCGCAACGAAACTTCGGAATATTACTAATTTTGTGATGCTCTTTCAAGCTGTGATGAAATCTTTGTCCAGATCAAAATTTCACTCAAAAGGGGAGAGGTCTATTGCATGTGATCCTTCTTGTTTATCACATTCACACACGAACCTATTATCAGACGAACGACTTTTTATTTCCTCAAAAAATAAGCCATACGATGGATAAAAACCTACCTTATTAAAATCAATGGACTTATGACCATAGCTGCTTTTTTAGACTTCAAGAGAGGATTATTGAAAAAGGGTTCCATGCAGTGGTCTTATCCATGTTACCTATATATAAGCACATTTTCCGACATAGACAGCTATATATAACCACAGTTAATACAATAGAGATATTAACTGTGATATAAATGTAAACTTCAAACTACATTTGAAAGTAAGTTGTACAGGTTTTTGACAGCTCAGTAGCTAATTTATGTTTCAATTTTAGTGCACAGTCAAATTGTCCAAACTTCGAACAGCTAACAGTTGTCCTCAAAATACAATGTGCCGTGGAAGTAGATATAGGCCCCTACAGAGGATATTACACGGCGGCGCGAAGATATGACTTTTATCTTCGAGTGTTGAAAACAATCATATCTTAAAAAGCAACTGTGCATGTAATGTTCTGTTTATTACATAGTCCCAAGCAAAAAAATTTGAAATTTCATGCTCAAAAGCAAATTTTCAAATTGTCACGTGATCGATATCTTCACTAGTGAAGATATCTTCACTAGTGAAGATATCATGGAAAATATCTCGCTGCGTATTTTTCAGTATCTCACTCTCTACTATATAATTTTGTGGGTTTTTTTGTTACGTATATATGTGCAAATTTTGATCATTTCAACTACAGTTATCAAAATAAATACAAAAGATTGTTCAATTGACCGTCTCCCCCAATTTCTTCACCGAACAAAAATCTTTCAACTCTTGCATCATTTTCTTATGATAATTCTCCAGCCTCGTTTGCACCATCTCCTCAATTTTATCCAGTGTCAGAACATCATCGCCACCTTCATCATCACCTTCATCATCTTCGTTATAAAACGTGTTCATTTCACCCGCCAAAAGTCGGTTGAGCTTATCCGCCCAAGACTTCTTGTGGTTAGGGTACTCTATGTACGTCATATCCTCCTTTCTTTTGAAGCATGGTAGTTTACTAAACAGTGATGATTCGACTTCCATTATAAATTTCATCTAAAAGACAGAATTTATATTTTAAATAGTACTTTACAGATCATTACAGTACCGCCTTGTTTGTAATGATGCTCTTTTAGAGGGGTTAGGTGAGCGAGCGGAACACGCTTGTAGCATGCAAGCTTGTCACTCACAACTTGTTGACAATTGAGAAATTGCAGGATGATAACAAGTTGTTGGAACAACTCAGTTGTAACAAATCTGTCGAGCTCAATAAGCTTGTAGCAAGTTGTGAACAAGCCATTGACAACTTGTTACCAAGCTAGGAACAAGCAGTGCGAACACATCCTGTTGACAAGTTGTTGAAACAGCATTCCTACTCCTACAAGTCTGCTGTTTTTACGTGTGTACTAGACTTCTAATAATATTAGTTTAGCTAACTAAAAATACATGCATACAGTAACCCCTCGCCAATATTTTCCAAACATTAAATTAACATGAAGTATTCAGAAATCGCCGACGCTGAACGCAGGCTCGCACCCAAGTGTTGCCATGACAACACGATATTCTTAAATTTTTAATTTTTTCTGGCATATTTTTGTACAAAACTGCAAGATAGTTGAAAGATTCGTACTTTTAACTATACAACAATATACACTGTAGGTATATTATTTTGCATTTTGTGAGCTTTGATTTAATGTAAAATTTAACTTGAAACGCTTCGTAACTGTTTTGAAATGTTCAATCAACTAAACTACATTTACCGATAAACTGTTTTTACTTAATAAAACATAATAAGTTTAATACAAATAAAACAAATTGTTAGGTAACTTCAGTTCAGTCTTCAAATCAATTTGTTCAAATTAAACGGTAATTTATGAAACTTAGAGCTTCGTTGAAAAGGAAAACAGTTCATGTTTTTGGGCAAAAAGTTAAAGCAACAAAATTCGTAAACTTACTAAACATTAAATATTCAAAGCAAACTTGCCGTATATTTCACGATTTCCCATAGTAACTTAATTCTTCTCAATTCTTCAAACAAAATTGCTTCAAGATTGTTGTATGTGAAACGATTTTCCAAATATATGTCTTTTAATATTGAAATCTTGCTTATCCCACCCACTACTACGCCTACAAGCAATCAGCCATATTATTTAGATCAGTCAGGATGACCACCCACTCAAGATCGTTGTCACGCCCGCGATCATTGATGAACTTTAGACTTCGCTAATGCTTTCGTTTCCCCGGGTGTAAATAGCCCCCGAATTAGTACCCTCGCCCCGGGCTTACGCCCGGAAGTGGCGCTGCGCGCCGTTGGATCGGGGATTAAGGTTTCCTCCTGCGCGTAGACGCCCAGGAAGAACAGATTATAACAAGGAGAGCTGTCCAGTATAAATAAAGTTAGTTTAGTTTATGTTTTATCCTTAAGTAACACTGGAACGGTAAGGGACATCATTACTAAAGGAATACCGAATGGTTTTCCGTGCAGGATTGCATGATCCATGCAGGCGAGTGTATTTTTACGCTTTCCGAAAGTCGAGCAACATCCCAAGTGCATGGATCATGCTATCCTGCACGGGAAAACCATTTGGTAATTGTTTTATAAAATTACTACAGTGAAACGACGCTTAACGTGATTAAAATTACTGATGAAATGTGCAGTTCTCACAACATTCGTGAATTAACCAATCAGAGAATCGCTACTCCACGCTATTGAAAACAACAACAGATGTGAACAGAATTTGATCGCAAATTCGCGAAAATATACAGCGAAAATACAGGGACTTTCTCGATAAAATAGACGAAATTTGAAATGGAAAACCCGCTAAACAGAGAGCCAAAGTAATTTTGAAGATTCTCCAGCTGAATATGTGAAGATTGCGAAGCGTTTGATCAACTTTGAAGCGAGAGATGTTGTACTTACATGCCATGGTCTGATGAATTTCAACGCTATACGCGTTGCTACTTGCTGAATAGCAATGTATCGATCAGAAATTTATTCATACAACTAAACCAACGTCTCAATAATTGAAAACTTACTTCAAAGTCGAAAGGTATCGTACAATGAAACTTTACAATGCGAGTATATTTGTAAAATTATATGCAATAATTTCTGTTCAGAATTTCCCGTGCAGGATTGTCTGATCCTGCACGGCTGTTGACCAATCAAATTGCGTGTTTCACTGTAGTTATTATATAATATATTTTACTATCGCGCAAGCGAGTATAATTACATCATTTTCTAATTTACTTTAAAGCGTTAAGAACTGTCAGAAAAGACAGCAATACAATAGCCTATATTATACTCATTTTGTAATTTAGTTGCATCGTTTTCAAACCGTCATAACTGCCTATTTTGTAATTTACGTCGTCAAGGACAATTATAGGGCGGCTAGATTATAGAATACCCGTCCACTTTTGTGACTATTTTATTTTCGTGATACGATGATACGAAGTGAAAGTCATGACGTAATCATTTTAGTAGCGAGTTATTATAAAAAGCCTATAAGATGATACGAAGTGAAAATAATGACGTCATTATTATAAGTCGCGTCATTTATTAGGACTGGGCAAGGTATTTTTTCAGTGATACGATGATACGAAGTGAAATTAGAAAACATAATTATTATAAATTCCGGTTATTTAGTGAAACTGGGCAAGCTATTTTTTAGTGATACAATGATACGAAGTGAAATTAACTTCGTAAAAAATTCTATGCTCAATTGTGCAAGGCATCTATAGGCCACGTATAGACGTTTTTCGTATATACTTTTAGTAACGTTGGCAAGGACAATGTACCATTGACATTGACTGATTGATTGTACATGTTTAGCCACCAGTCCTAATAGCGACTATTTTGAGTTAGTAACCAGAGCCACGAGGATTCACATCGACATCGATTCACATTCACATTCCCACGTTTTACTGGGATTCCTGCCAAATATAGCCATGCATTTTCGATTCAGTTTTGGTGACTGGTGTTTTACAATTATATAATCATTTATGAAATCGATATATTAAATTTCCTTAAAATATCCTGAAACCATTGGCAAATACATTTATATTTTTTATATAATTTTAATTTTCAAACCACGGTATGCATGCATGCATCGTGGACATTGTGAACTTAATAATATATATTATAACACTTGTCAAAAATCGGTCTCCCATACCCAGCTTGTTCGCAGGTGCGAGGTATTCTCCCACCTAAAAAAGTTCCATAGAATTCCACTCCTCATACAATTTCAAATTTACAAAAACGCTAAGATTATCAGATTAACATCATACAAAAAATATAATAATGAACTCTTTATATATAAAATCTAGTAATCTACTGACATAGTTACAGAAACCTGCACTAACACCCATATTTTAAAAGCTCACTCACACTCATACTCAATGCATGAGTGGAGGTTCAAACTGAGCTTCTCTTGAGTGTCAGCGCTGTTTTTCAATAGCCGCCGTGAATGTGAGTATAGTCACGCAGTAACGGTACGACACTAACCCTCCAGCTATTCAAAACTGAACAGCAATGACACTCGAGAGAAGCTCAGACTGAACTTCCACTCATTGAGTGTGAGTGAGCTTTTAGAATACGGGCGTAAGACTATACTTTCAAAACCACGGCAACGGTACATAAAACGGTTACCAAAATACGCTTATATAATGCGGCATTTCATGCTTTTTCTAATGATGTACTGATTGCGCGACAAGCTCACCAATGTCAAAACGGCAAGGATTAATAAGGTGGTAATTACTTTTGTTTATAAAATTACATTGCGCAAACGTCTATATTCCGCAAGCGTTTGCCCCAAAATCTGTCTTCCCCAATTGTTCCCGAACTCGACTATATTGAGTTTTATTATTATTATTATTATTAATCAAAATCTTTACACACGGTAGCCTATTCAGTATAACTATTAAAAACTGACTTTATATTTACAAGAGGTGCTGGTTTTCAAAAGGCCGGGTAATAAAAACGAAATCCTATTTACTATGATACAGTACTAAATGAAGGTATATAATTAATGTATAATTAATGATCCAACCAATTAAGCAGTTTTATCAAGTCGGCGTTTGAAAGCGTTAACTAATAGCTCACAGAAATCTTCAGTTACCTGTATATCATTAAATAATACGTTGCAGGACTTTGCCGCTGTATATGAGAAGCTTCTTTTTAAGAAATTAGTCCTTGGTTTTGAAAGTGCTAATTTGGTGTTATTACTTCTTAGACTGTAATTATCGTTATTGCACACAGTAAATAATTGCTGTAAATAATCCGGTCCTTGCCCGGTTAAAACTTTGAATGTCATAAAAGTAGTATTTCATGCTTTTTCCATTGATGTACACTAAATTAGGGCACAAGCTAACAAACGTAGATGTATCGCAAATTGGGGCACAAGCTCACCAATGTCAAAACGGCAAGGATTAATAAGGTGGTAATTGCTTTTGTTTATAGAATTACATTGCGCAAACATCTATATTCCGCAAGATCTGTATTCCTAATTGTTCTGAAACTCAACTATATCGTGCAGTATTTCATGCTCTTTCTAATGACGTCACCAAGGTCATTATATATATTACATTAATGTAGCACAATCGTTTAAAACTGGTTGTGTTAAATGTCACTCGATCGTGTCGACGTGTCGTCCTTTGTCGATCATTGTAGATAAAATGTGTTGTAATTGATGTAAATGTAAATTTAGTATAAGGATCGTGAGAATGGGGCAATAAGCCCTGTAGGGATCACTAATCATTAATGACAAAGCTAGTAAATAAATAAAATAAAACGGCAAGGATTAATAAGGTGCTTATTGCTTTAATTTGTTTATAGAATAGTTAAACTCATTTCTTTTGTTTATATATTAAATTTAGACAATAGAATTACACTGTGCCAACATCTATATTCAGCAAGCGTTTGTACAAAATCGGCTCCCTAATTGTTTCGAAACTCAACTATATGGTGCAGGAGTTCATCCTCTTTCCAATGCATGATATACACTAAATTGGGCACAAGCTCGCAAACGTCGGAATGACAGAGACTAATGAAAGAAACTTAATCCTAATGATTATACAAAGAAACGCAATAATCACATAGTAAGCCAAATTGCGACGCCGTTTATACCGCGAAGCTATACTTCAAACATTTTATACAAATAAACGAAGGAAATTTGGGATCACCAGAATTCGTATATTACCACGTAACCATCTTTTCGAAAGGCTGGTTATACATGAAATGCTTTCTGCTGTTATTAATTCTGTTCTGTATTGGAAAGAGGGTATAACTCTCTTCACTGTTAATCCAATTTATATGAATCGTAGCCATAAATTTTGCGATAATAACTTAATAACCTGGAAAGTATACTGGAACATATTCGCATTTTCGCAAGTGTTACATATCATGAAAAATCTGAGGTTTTTGTGCTTGTGCCATGTTATTGTTGTTACTCGTGGAAGCGGAATGACATATCTACATTATAGCTACTTAAATTTCAACATTACCTCGAACATTACCATGTTTGCCTTATTTCGTCAAATATCGATATCGAAATTAAAGTTTATTAATCTGAAACATACTGATCGAACAAGTAAATGCAGTGTCTTAAATGTTCAATTTCCCCCACAAAGAAGCTTATTTTCCTATTTTATGCACAGCATACGATAGATACGTTGCATGCATTGCTCATGTTACTGCTAATTTAAAGTAAAAAATACCTTAAAAGTAGCCAGAAAAGGGGTTCAAATAATCTACTTTTGAATAATTGAATACAGTTGAATGTGAGGTCCAATCTAAAGACCTGTCGCACTATTGCGTATTGTACTAGCGTATGCCAGCATATGGAAAATATCACTCATACGCCGGTAACGCTGGCATACGCCGTAGATGTACGTTAGGCATAGGTTGTATACGTTTTAAGCAGGGTCGCGTACGGTGGCATACGCTGGCGTACGGCGAGGCAGAAAAAAATTTTTAAGCATGCTCAAAAATTGTGTGCGTATTGGACGTATGCTTTATACGATAAGCATACTCTAGGCACACGCTGAATACGCTAGAGGTACGCCAGATGTACGGTACT